AAATCATGGTTCGACCCGGCCCGCAAGGCCGGGTCCGGGTCGGGTTCGGGTCTTCGGTTCGGGTATGAGGAACACTATTTGCCACGTGGCTAAAATGGCCGAAACATTTCGACCACAGGTATATCGATAGAACGTATAAAGAAATCAGCAATTTAATCAAACTAAAATATTGACGTATTAGTGATTTAATAGTCCAAGATTATAAAACTTTCGTTCTACATGACATCAAATTAAACTTTCCTCATGTAAAATTATCGTTTTACCACCATTCAAATTCTCATTTAAATTCCTTTGTAATGATTATTTTCTTTTCACTAAACACCAAAATGTCAAACAATGCAAATTATGAAAAATATTACAAAAATGCTTTGAAAAAATTTACAGAAATTACGAACGAATCAAACTCGACAACTACTGCTCCTATGTCACTCTCCAAGCATAAATCCATTACAAAAATGAAAGCAACGTATCCATCATTTTCTCCTGTGCAAAAAAATCTTGACCAACAAAGATTACATTCTTTAACTAAACAAAATAGTAGTATGAATAATAATAGTAATAGCATATCCAGTCAACAAACAAATAATTCACATATCAATCAATTGGATTATAATTCAAATATGAACAGACCTTGTTCTATTCAACAAAATCATAATTCACAAAATCATAATTCACTTACTAATCAATCTTATCTCATTCAGCATGATCATAGTACTTCTACGAATCGATCTTGTCCTATTAAACAAAGTAAAAATTCTCTCATGAATCAATCTCAAACTATTTCTCAACAAAAATCGAATGTAGATTGGCCAGAAGAAACTGATGGATGGGTATATATAAAAAATTTGGATGACAGTAAAGCAGATTTTGACGGTATGTTTTGAATGTTTAATACTCTAACAGATCACTATCATCAATTTAGACATTCTTATCATGATTTGACTTTTTAATTAGCAGTTGACATTAAAGTCGAAGGTGAATGAATTTTATCAATTGTTTAAAAAATCTTTTTTTTTTAAATTTTAATATTTGTCAGAAAATTCTCTCTAAACTCGATAGATTATCATTGTATATACTGTAAATGTGCGGAATGTACATTATCTGAAATTGATGCACCGAATATTACCATCTTTAATCATACTAATCATACAACTTTCGCATCAACCTCTACACAAGCTTTTACCAAAAAGTTGAATGATGCAAAGTTTGAAGATGATGATATGTATTTAATTTTGTAATTAGTTTTTTTTCTATATGTCTTTCTTAAAGACATGATATACTTTGTTATTGAAAGAATGAAATAATTTATTTATTTTTTTTTAAAAAAAAAAAAGAAAGAAAAATACGCGTTGAACCCTACATTTAAAGGCTTTAGCCGTTCGTTCATTTTATAATAACCATAAACGTTTGAAACGATTTAATATATTTTATTATTAAACGTAAATAATTAATATTAGTACAATTACAACTATTTCTTATATTAGAAAATAACAACGCACACTAATATACGACCGAATAATACCTATACGTTATATGTAATCTAACAATATCCACACATAAATTGGTACAATTATCTGTCTTTTTTACTCTCTGTTTTCTCATCTTCATTTTCATTTGATTCAGCAACCTGTCCATATTCATTTGCTCTTTTATTGTCCGTAGGGTAGGCCCATCTTTGGTAAAGATAGACAAAGAATACTACATCGTCTCTTAAACAAGCCAAACGATGTAACGTTGGCATTTTAATGCAAAAAGCAAAAAGATCATCGACGAACGTACTAAGCGTTTTGTACATTAAAGTTTTCCAAGGCATATGTGCAACCTGAAAATATCACATGAACAAATAAGCAATATTAACAATTTGAATATCAAAAGAAAATATCGTTAAAAAGGCGTGATACTCTTACACTTTTAAGTTTATAATTGATAAATAATTGTGGTGTCATCATTATGAATCCGAAGGCATACACAAACCCAACAAGTGTTGTCAAAATAAATGAATACCAACTCTTGTGCGAATTGTATACAAGACTGTAAATTGCGTAACAAAAAAGCAGAGGATATGCCACTCGTGATAAATATCGAAATGCTAATTGATCATACTCTTTCGTCTTTTCTTCGGACTCACTTAGTTTGTGTTTGTCAACAAACATTATAGTATACGGCAAATAACTTGCTCCTTGCGATGGCTTTATCTAATCAAAGATTTTAAAACTTTATAAGTAATGTTGTAATGAAATTTTATAAGAAATATTACATACATATATACCAATAAAACCTCACCTCAATATCAACAGCCTTTTTTACCTTCCACACTTCTATGGCTAACGAAATTCCCTGCCCGATTAAAATCATCCAACTTGTGTCCGCATTATTATCGAATAAATATAATAGAATAACCAACTGGAAGAAAATGTTCAATAAAATAGATCTAACAGAAACACCAGTCATCTCATCCTTTTTTCTCCAATGCGAGATGTCTAAATATTCAAATAATTAAAGGGGACAATATTAATAATGTACTTATTATATGTTGTTTAGAACCCATAAATTACAAGACAAACCATTTTTAAAAGCCAAGAATTCAAATACGCTGTGCAATAAGGATACAATAAAAGTGACAGCAAGTAATATAGGATTTGTTTCTCTAAGCATTCTCTTAATTTCATCAAATTCGGAATGTGCATCTCCACCAATCATTTCTGCCTGTTTTCGGAATGATTCATCCATTTGCATATATAATTGAAATTTCATGAATGATAAAGGATAATACTTAATGTTTAACGGTAAAGTCCTACATATTTATAATATGATCAATAATGATACAGAAATAAAAACTAGATGTATGAGGTCCTTGCTAGTAAAGTAACCTGTGACATATAACGTGTGGTCACTTTATCAGTAAAGATCCTAATAAAGATATTTCTTAACATACTTGACAGTTTCGTTGATAGGCGTTAAATGATCTTTAAGAATCCAGAAATCATTGACAAAGACAACAGGAAGATACCAACCAGAATGTGTAGTCGAATCTGGTAACCTACTCGCGTCCAATGGTATAGCTAGATAAAGAAAAAATTAACAATTAACAACCGGTTTTTTTTTTTCAAACTATTGAGTACAAGACATTAATAAATTTACTTGAAGCAATTGAAGGTGGTAGTTTAGCATAGGGAATAATAACATTGTCGGATACGATATTAAGTGTCAAATTCTGAGACCAATATGATACAATAGGAATTTTTTCATCAAATTTTATCTAAGTGAAAAGAATATATTTATATATAAATGAAAAGGTAATATATGAATAAAAAAATATAAAAAAAAAAATTCACACATTACTTCATCAGCTTCGATTTCATCGTCATTAGAACCACGAATAAGATTTTTTGTCTTTACAATCTTTCGCTTCGGGTAATATCTTGTTAATACTGCTCAATTGATAATATTATAATTAGTAATAATAGTAAATATAAATAATGATGTTATGTTATATACATTTTCGTGAATAAACCCGCATATTATCCTGAAATCCTGCAGTTAGTGGATCTGGTGACGCCTTTCCAAGTGTGAGAAATATGTGTGCGTACAACGAACCATTGTGTCTCATAGACTATAAATTTAGATCATTAAAAGATGTATAAATTTGAAGAATTTTGCTTTTTAAAAGAATAACCCATAACTATACCACTGATGTTGGAATGTCAAGTGACACTTCTCTTTCGTCTTCCCAATCACCAAAAAGGATATTCGAAGTGTGCCATTTAGGAACAGAAGGATCATTAAACTTTGTAAAGGTTTCGTCTTCAGAAATGTATACACATAAATCCTTAAAATAGAATGGACATTATAAATGTAAGATTTTATAAAAATTTTTTGCTAAATAGTAATAATGCCATCTACCATACTCGATTCCAACGGCCACGAAGGGAATAATTGTTTTAAATGGGTATTTTCATACTGTGATACACCATCGCTTGATAATTTGACAGCAGGAGGCGATGATATATTGGTTGAACCTATTTTAAACAAGAATAAATTAAAATGTATTAAAAAGTAAAAATACTAATGACAGATCAATTAAAATAATCAAACCTTTAAAAAAAAAGTTCATGACATAATATATAAGGAGCATGTTAAATATCGTTTGCGTAATTACTTGAAATGTAGACGGCCGCTGTGGTTGCTGTGGTTGCTGTGGTGGAACATTCCCTTGACCATCGTTCTGCTCTTGTGAATTGTTTGAAGACTGGCCGTCGGAGGTAGGTGCTTCAGGTTGCTTATTCGCA